GAGCGCATGTGAATTTTGGAGTGGTGTTGGTGGTGGTGGTGGTGGTGGTGGTGGTGGTGGTGGTAGTAGTAGTAGTAGTAGTAGTAGTGGTAGTAGTAGTAGTAGTAGTACTAGTAATATTTATAATAGTAATAGTAGTAGCAGTGTGTTGTGTTGTTGTGTTGTGTTGTGTTGTGTTGTGTTGTGTTGTGGTGGTAGTGGATGGGGTCTTTTGGAATGAAACCCTTCCAAGAACACTTTAGAATAAACACATCTGGCCCAAACCCATGGTTCTGGGCCCAAACCCAGGTTCCGGGCCCGAGAACCTGGGTTTGGGCCAGATGTGATCTTTTTTGGTTGGTTTGGAGCGGGTTTGCACTGAAAGTGACCACATCTGCTCCAAACCCATGGTTCTGGACCCAGAACCACCGGTTTGGGCCAGATGTGGTCATTTTTAGTTTGACCCCTCCTGGTGCCAGCCAAAAGCCATCATAAAACGCACCAAAAAAACAACATGGCTGCAGCCTGATACCTCCAAATTGGTGAAAGGGAGCCCCAATGATGCTGATGATGTTGGCCAAGGGGGCCAGGATCATCAGCATCATTGGGGCTCGTTTCTCCAATCTGAGGTCTTCCGGTACCCCCCTCAACCCGCAAAAAATGGTGCCGGGGCCCAGGCCCATGCTCATGATGCAGATTTTGGGGGTTCTTGGGGACACGAAAAATCCTTCAAAAATCCTTTCCTACCGTGGGGATTCGCTGCTGGAGCGCATGTGAATTTTGGAGTGGTTTTGGAAGGGGGTCCGGAAAGGCTATTTGGAGACCCAGTGTAGAGCTATAGGGCTAAAGTTCTAGACAGGGGCGCCGCCCTGGACCACGGCGGCAGGGCTGGATTTAAGGGGCTGCGTCCAGGGCCGGGCAACGCAGGCAGCATGAAGAGGGACTCAACCTTTTTTCTTGGGTTCCCTCCCCAAACAACAAAAAATGACCGCCCAAAACCTGGATTGAGCAGGAGGGGCGGGTAGGGGAAGCGGCTGTGCCAGTATTACCCCCCCAGCACCATGGGGTTTCCAGAAGCTCGAGCGCTCCACAGCCCTAAACCCGACAAAGCCCAAGCATTCTGGCTCACGCATCTTTCCGGATAAAAGAGCCCGTGACCACCCAAGCCCTCACCACACCGAGTCCGGGATCAGAGATGTGGGAGAGGGCGTGGGAGGTTGCGCGGGTGGGGGAATTTAAAAAGCCACCGGACAGGGCTCGGACTTTTTTTTGTGGGGGGAGGTGGGGGAAGGGGTCCGGCTTTGGCCTATCGGACAAGGCTCGGACATTTTTTTGGAAATGCGTAGGGCTGCCTTCAAGAAAAGAAATTTCGATAGATTTTAATGGCGGGAGTGGGGAGGAGCCACAAGAAAAGAAATCCCGACCAATTTTGACGGTGGGCCTTGGAAGCCCGCAGAACTGGGCTTGGAAACCTAATTCTGAAGAGGGTTGGGGTTGCCGACGAGAGAAAGAAGGGCTTCCCTGGCGCTCGACCACGGCTAGCCGGGGTCGGCGGATTAAGGCAGACTTAACACTGGACGTGGGGGTCCCTCTAATAATAGGGAAGATTGATTGCAGCGCGTATGTGAAAGCACACCTCGGTGGCAGGGCCAAGAGCCTGCAGCCCATCAGCACTTGCAGATGTTTGCTCAAGCAGCTGCTTGAAAGGGGGCATGAATGTGGAGCTGCGCTGGACAAGGGCGTGGGTGACACTATTCATTATCAGATCAGGACACTCAAGGCATCCCACTCTGAGGATACGCGGACGTGTTTGTTAGGGTAGAGATGTCGTCGCTTCTACTACAGGTTCGGCAGCTGCGGAACTTGCAGTGGGGACTTGTGAGCCAACAACTTGAGCTTGGACCTTACGTGTGTCACCCGGTGAGCGTTTTTGCTTTGGTGGTGTTTCAGGAAGGTGCGGATAGAAAGCGCTGTGGTACACACAATGCCTAGCTCTTGCAGGCAGGGGCCCAACATTTTATCGCTCTTGGGCACATGACGGGCAATTCAACACACGCCCACAGGAAGTCTGCTGAGACCATTCTTTGCGAGCAGCAGCAAGCTCAGCAACAGAAACGAGCTGCTTGCAATAGACCGAGCATTGTACCCTGCTGGCTGCCAATGCTGACTTGTGGCAAAGGTTTGCTGAGTTCCGCCTTGAGTTGAAGCAGATGCCAGAGCCTCTTGACTAGCCTTTCGAATATGATTGTCTTGGGTCCAGTGGTTTAGCCACCTTTGCCTTGATTTGCAGCGTTTAATTATCCTCCACTTCAGTATTGGCAGAGCGTTACGCAGTTACTTGGGGAGCCATGTCGGAGCGCAGCCGTTCGCCGGCCGAGCGTGGGAGGTCCTCTCTGCAATCGGCCGGGATGGACTTGGAGGGCTCCAAGGTGCTGGTGACCGGCGGCTCCCGTGGCATTGGCCTGGCAGCGGCAGAGCTCCTGCTATCTTTAGGCCAGGACTCGGCTTGTCCACTTCGCTTTCTTTGTAATAGTCTCTTCCCAGACACCTCCTTAGAAGCCGGAACTCTCGACACTGTTCAAGAGTTGGAGGAATGTCCATGGCAACAGCTCATCTACTTGTTCTCTTGGGATCAGATGAAGCCGGTGAGTTTTCTGGCAGTTGAAGGTCTGAGCTGGGATGCCTGGGGTTGGGCAATGTTGGGAGGGTCCTTGGTGGTCTGGGCGGCCTGGAGGGTGATCAGGGAATCTGCAAAGACCAGATCATAACGTGATACATGAACGGATTGGATGCCATCACTGTTTCGAGGTTTGCTCCCTTGCCATCACGAAGACAATTGTCATAATTCAACGCTCATCTTGTTGACCGCCAGCTTGATCTCGGCTCAGGAGCCAAAAAAGGTTGCACTGCTTCCGGCAGACTCCACTTCGGTCTAAAATCGATCTTCGCCCACTTTCCCCATTGCTTGGTTTCCTGCAGACTGCTGGCTAGCTCCTGGTTAGCGTATTCACAGGTCGTAGCCGAATTTTCATGTTGCCTTGGCGCCTGCTCTCCTGCCACCGCGAGTACTGCTGGCTAGGACATTTGTGGTCATTTGTACAGTAGCCGCTAGAATCTAGTGATGTTGAGCGTGGTGGGAAATTTACCTGGTGCTATCTATGAATGTCTGCAATGAGCACGGTGTTTGGTATTGCTTGAGTTCCTGCTTGTCGTTCGCCGCAAAGTGGAACAGCTTTTTGGGGGGAGGTTGCATAGCGTTGCATCTTGGGGAGATCATCTTGGCAGTCCTGGAGAACTGTTGACCGTATAGGGGCATTGTCTGTCAGCTTGCCAAATCACTGCCATGCAACCAATTCTCAGATAAATGTCAACTGCATTTGGTTTTCGGTATGTGCAGTATGACCTGCCGTCAGGGGCGGAAGTGGCAATCTGCGCACGAGGAGCCGAAGACCTGGAGGCAGCTCGAAAGAAAATGCCGCGGAGAGAGAGCTGCCACACGATTGTGGCGGATCTTTCTTCCCAAGCTGGAATCAAGGCTTTGGTTGAGAAACTTCCATGGTCAGAGCTGGATGTCCTCGTCAACAATTGCGGCACGAACATACGGAAGAAAGCAGAGGATTTTCAGGAGGAGGACTTCAACAAGGTTTTCAGCACAAATTTCATGAGCTGTATGTGGCTCACCCAGGCAGAGAACCAAACAAACAAAAACCAGTATCCCGACCGCGAGGCCCCTTAACACCCTACACTATGCAATCAGCCCATAACTCTTCAGAGCAAGCAACGACATTGCTTCTGCAGGCAGTGTTGCCTTTGCTGCAGAAGGCCAGCGAGTCGAGCAGGTCCTCGGGAAAGCGCAGTGGTGCGTCTGTGGTGAACCTGTCCTCTGTTGCCGGGTGCTGCCATATCCCATCTGGCTTCCCGTATGCTGCTTCCAAGGCTGCTATGGACCAGATGACGCGAAATCTTGCGGTGGAATGGGCACGCTTTGGAATCCGCGTCAATTCTGTGGCGCCGGGTGTCATCGAAACTCCTCTCATCCAGACTGCTAGCCCTGTTTACGTTCGTGACTTCACGAATCTGAAGCCGATGAAACGTGTGGGACAGGCCAAAGAGGTCGCACGACCAATCGCCTTCTTAGCTAGTGACGCATCCTCGTTTGTCACAGGACAGACTTTGTATGTAGATGGTGGCTTCACGGCTGCAGGCTTCAATCAGATCCCTGGCTATTGGGAGAACGCATGAAGCCAGATATGAGGAGAAATGAAGGTGTGATTAGGTCTTGTTTCTGCGGCAGGGATGCAGAGCTGGTCTTGATCGCGCGGAGGTTGCAGCTCCGCCTGGAGAATCTGCAGGATGCAATGGAGCAACGCTTGAGAAGACTGGAGGCCTCTTCGACGAGAGTTCAGCCGCGAAGGGCGCAGATTCAAGGTGTCTCCAGTTTGGCATGTGCCTTTGCTCGTCCCACCGCCCTCTGTTTCGCTCGTTCGGCCTTATCTTTTTGCCATTTCTCTCCTCTCTCTCTCTCTCTCTCTCTCTCTCTCCTTCTCTCGTTTTAAACGTGAACCCCGGTGGTGCCTCTTCCCTTCTTCTCGCTAAGTTGCACCTGAAGTCTTGTGACTGTGCAGTACGCGCTTTGCAGAGACACAGCCTTGGTGGAACGCAGGAGTCAGTCGAACACAGACTAGGCCGGGTACTGAGGTAGCTTGCATGGGTGATCGAGGCAACTGCATTTCCAAAAGATCAGAACCTTAGGCTCCGAAACGAACGTTTATGATGTACAGCGGGCTAAAACTAACTACATCATTGTGGATTTTAGCATTGGCCGAGCTGAATATTCAGGCCAGAAGAATCAGCATGATCATGCTCTTGCATCCGCATATTCAGCTGTGAAATCCATGTTGACAGTGCGTGACCAGCCTGCGTGGAATGTCCAATCTCCTAGCCAGGTCAAAATGAAATAGGATCATTAACTTCGCTCATGAGAGATGGGTCTGCGAGGAAGCATTGTAGGACGCTTCATACTAAACATCTAATCATGGCCATGTGTGTGCAGCTGTCTTTGTAGGCTGCGCCTTGGACACGTTGACCTCAGCAACAGTGAAGGCTCGGGGTTTCGTCATGAAATCTTTGGACCCTGCTCACTGCTCATACTCCTCCCCAACCCTGGCCATTACAGCCTCGTCCGCCATCATAGCCTCTATACTTGAATCCTAGCCCTCCTGAACACTACACATCTTTATCTACACCTTCTTGGTGTAAGGGGTCCAAGAGAACTGTACACATAGAACTGCTACCCATCGGTCGGTAAGTCCTCCCAGGGGCTATCTGCTTGGCGTCAATTTCCGCCTTGCTTAGGGCAATAGTTTCCCACATTCCTGCTTGCATCGCGAGTGCCTGTCCTGACTTGGCATGCAAGATGTGTCGGCCAGGATCAGGCCGCAATCGTGCAACGTTCGGAGTTCGAGGCTGGTTTACACCCTCTGCGTCTCGGTACGAGTTTCCTTCATTTCTGGTCAGGGTCTATCGGATCTTCTCAAAACCGAATGCAAGCGAGTTGCGGGGTCCGTGGAAGACCTTCGGGAGGCGGGGTGGACTGCACTAGCACTGCACCAGCTCTGGTGGCTATAGCGGAACCGGGGCGACATGACTCGTGTCATTGACCTTTGGGGGCGGATGATCATCTGCAATCGAAGAATATCGAAGAGTCTAGCAGTCTAGCATGTATCCCGCCTTGACAGGAATGCCGCGAGGCTTTGCAGCGAGAGGCGAGTTTCTGTGCAATCAAGGGAGGCCTCTGCTTCAAAGACATTTCCAGCTGAGGTGCGGGCTCGTTTGGACCATCACCGAAAGCTGCAAGAGGTGTGCGCTCTCAATGAGCTTGGAACAGCACAAGACATTAGATCAGGAGTTCCGGCGGGAAGCTGACGACAGATACCAGGCTGACACGCTGTTTGCTCCTGTCGGGTAGACATGATTCATTTCAGAGCCTTGGTATCAGGTAACCCGCAAGCTGGAGCAGCAGATCCAGGACTTAGACCGGCCCTCAGTTGGGTCAACGCGCCCGAAGCCGCAACGAGTTTCTTCTGCAGGTGGCGAGCAGTACTGAATTGGAAGCCCTCCAGCAAAGGCCTGCGTTGTCACGCAACGAACGGGTTGTGATGCGCGGCAGAGGCTTGTGCAATGCTTGCAGGATTCTGGCTGAGCCCCAACGAGAGGTCGGACGTCCAATCATAATCAATCGTATGCATCATTGCCAGCAGAAACACTGTGGTTTCGCACAATGACAGGTCCTAGTGCCGTACCCAGCAATTACCGAGCCTGTAGCCGTGGGATCTCCCATGTCTGGACCTAAGTTTGCCTGCAACTTGGCGTCTCAGGCTCAGGTTGCAAGACGATTTTCTATGCTTGTTGGCAGATCTCAGTGGCATGCTGCATTCATGATGTTGAAAGGTCATCTTATCCTGCCTCGCTGCATGGCGAGACGCCAGGCCTCAGTACCTGCACCGGTTGTTGCAGTGCCTAGAGGCCTAGTGCCTGGCCCTGTGTTGGAATAGGAATGAATAGAACTAGGATCTGCTTCACAGAGACCAGATGCTTCACCCTCACAGCTTCTCGGCTCCCTGCACTTGGCAGGCTCACCAGGTGAGACTGCACGGGACTAAGTGACTAAGGGTAGATGCTGGCCGTCGGAAGGTGTAAGGGCGATGAAAGGCTTTTGGCACGTTGTGACTCTACATGGACCCTGCGTGGACCCTGCATGGCTTAGGCAATGGTGCGGTTACCCATCTGACCTTGGAGAAGAACTCCTCCCGAGCCAAGCTCTTTGTGAATCGCCAGAAGCAGGCTTTTTCTTCTTGCTCGTTGGACCGGTTGCGCTATGTTGCGCAATGCTGCGATGCTTTGCGATGCGAAGCTGGCGTCTGCCTGAGACAGCACGCAAGTGGACAAAGTTCAGTGAATTCACTCACCCTTCGCGCCAGCAAATCATGTCTCTTGGAGCACCAGATCTCTGAGACAAAGGCTGAGCGCACCGTCTAATTCGTGCAGAGCAGCTGGCTTTAGGAGCACCATCTGAGCGGCTAATATGATCGAATCCTCGATCCCTGTGTGGACAGGTCCTACACCCCGGATCCTATGGTGCCGTGGCCTTCGTGTGGACCTTAGCTTCTGTCTCCATCTCTCGCGAAGGGTTGTTGCCCTTGAAAATGTAGGTTGGTTGGGAAGGGCCTTTTTCAAGCATGAACAGGTGGCATGTGTTCTGATTGTAGCTTGGGGCTCGAATACTGGAACCAGCTGCAATCACGCTCCTTTCTTTTCTCCCTCCCACCTCACCCTGATTACTTCCGTTGTTTGATGGGGAGGTCTTCGCCTCCTGTAGGGGGGGTTCACTAGCTCTTCATCTTACATGTGAGATAATTATGTGCTTACTCCGTAGAGTACTTGAATCCTGTGGAGTTCTGGACTCCATTGATTCATCATACCCAATGTCTTTGACGTTGTGGGTGTCCTATCCCACCTTTCACACTCATCATTCCGGAGTCACATGTCAGTGTTCTTGCCCTTGAATATGTAGGTTGGTTGGGAAGGGCCTTTTTCAAGCATGAACAGGTGGCGTGTGTTCTGATTGTAGCTTGGGGCTCGAATACTGGAACCAGCTGCAATCACGCTCCTTTCTTTTCTCCCTCCCACCTCACCCTGATTACTTCCGTTGTTTGATGGGGAGGTCTTCGCCTCCTGTAGGGGGGGTTCACTAGCTCTTCATCTTACATGTGAGCTAATTATGTGCTTACTCCGTAGAGTACTTGAATCCTGTGGAGTTTTGGACTCCATTGATTCATCATACCCAATGTCTTTGACGTTGTGGGTGTCCTATCCCACCTTTCACACTCATCATTCCGGAGTCACATGTCAGTGTTCTCTCTTGGGCCTAATTAGAGGGGGTGCCCGTAATTAGAGCTGCGCGCCAGGGTAGACAACAACGCATGCAAGAAAATGCATTAGTGCTGATAGTCTGGTCCCTGACGAGAACAGGATCCAAGGTTGTGTTGGCAAATGCGCAATGGTAGTGGCGAGCAACCGAGTGCGTGCAGTGGTCAAGAGATGTCGATAATTTTGGCTTGTGGTTGCGGCAGCTTCTCCTTTCCAGCTGAAAGGACTTGCCACGACCCACCGACCCACGTGAGCCAGTCACTATCCCTTCTTAACTCTTTCGTCTCCTTTGAAGTTGGAGAAGTCGAATGGCCTTTTCGGCGCGGATGCGTTTGAGGCATGCAGAAGCGGTTCCTAGTTACCATGATGGCGATATACCTGGCCCCAATCATGGCAGAGGCCTACAAAGCGGAACCCTTGACAGCGCAGGATACATGGGTGGATGACCTTGGCGCTGACTTTCAAAGTCGACACCCAGAGCAAGCGCCATCCACGCATGATCCACGTTTTGTGCAAATGTGGACTGTGGAAAAAGATACGCAGTCTCCTTGTGTTCCTTGGCAGCTCCATCTCTAGGCTCGGCGCTGATATCCGGGTTTCGTGATGGGTCGACCCTGCCAGGCTTCCGGGAGGTTTCCTGCCGCAGATGCTGCGATGTGTCAATCCGGCAGCCAAGCTCCACAATTTTCTGGATGACAAGGTCTTTGCGGAGCTTTTGTGCCATTGCCTGCTACACAGGCAAGATGCATTCTGTCAAGTTAGGCCATAAATCCAGGCCGTTCAAGGACGGAGGCAGCAAGCCGTCGCCCAGACGGTATTCTAACGGGAGCCCGGCCTGAACGGTCCCACGCTGGAGGTCTGGCCCACGACGCGAGAGCTTGCCGACCACTGCCGACAACTACCCCAAGGACTATCGACAGTTCCTAAACATTCCTAAGCCCGGAACTCTAAACCCTTGGACCTGCGCGGATTGTGGGTTGTCATAGGTGAAGAAGTTTTTGAAGCGCGATTCAGTAGCCCTGGCTTGACCTAGGCTGTGTGTTCGGATTTAGGAGGTTGGGTTTAGAGTTTAGGGTTAGGGGTTTAGGGTTTAGGAGTTCAGGGTTTAGGGGTTTAGGGTTTAGGGGTTTAGGGCTTAGGACTTAAGAGATTGGGTTGCGGAATTTTGGGATCTAGATATTAGGGGCTTAGGTGGGCCAGGTGTGGGCTTGTTTGCGCAATTTTAGACGCTACGATCGTAGGCGTCAATGACAACATTAGAGCCAATGTGCACAAAAATACTACTGCATTGACACTCTTCGACCTGCGGGTTA